TCTGTCAAGAGTTCTCTCAGCCCCACCTACCTCACAGGGTGTCTGTTGTGGGGAGGGGAAGGGAAAGGAGTTTGTAAGCCGCTCTGAGACAACTTTGGGTAGTGAAGGGAGGGGTATAAATCCAATCTCTTCTTCTTCTTTTACCTCACAGGGTGTCTGTTGTGGGGAGGGGAAGGGAAAGGAGTTTGTAAGCCCCTCTGAGACACCTTTGGGTAGTGAAGGGCGGGGTATCAATCCAATCTCTTCTTCTACCATGCTCTGTGGTCCCACTCCAAACCAAGCCCCAGTTCACTTCTGAGCACAGAACTCATGGTACGCATCTGATTTTTAGGGCCTGTGGTGAACCCAGTCAGGACATGAGGAACACATAATTTTAAGTTAACTCCTAAGGTCTTTAGAACAAAATTTGAGTCCAGTGGCACTTTTAAAGACCAACCAAATTTTCTTCTGGGTATAAGCTTTTGTGTGCATGCACTGAAGTGTGCATGCACACGAAAGCTTATACCCAGAAAAAAACTTTGTTGGTCTTAAAGGTGCCACGGGGCTCAAACTTTGTTCTGCTGCTTCAGACCGACACGGCTGCCCACCTGAATCTATCTTAGGTGTTTAGTTATGCAGTTTTATGTGTATCTCTAAGGTCTGTTAGATGACTGAATCTGGTGTGGAGTACTGTAACCTTTGCTAGATATTGAATTTACAAGGAAAGGGAAGGCTTTTCTCTCTTTGGTTGGCAAGAGAATGCTGCCATCTCCAGATTAGGGAATTCCATCCCCCAGGGGGAGGAGTTATCTGCATCCTTACAGGCTGGACAATTCTGAAGACTCTGAAAGGCCTTTGACAGTGTTTAATGATGTTTTATTTTTTGGCCAGAGTTTTAAATTGCATTGTATTTTTACTGTGATTTTTATTATTCATGTTTGCAATTGATTGCTGGATATGGTGTTTTATTGTAAGCCTTATGTGCATCGCTCAATGGAAAAGCGGGATATATGTTTACCAAAAAATCAATAATAATTCTCTCATGCTCAGAGCAGCAGAAATACTGCTAAAATTACAGTCCTTGGTGAATTCCACAAAATTAACTTATCTTCTAAGGAAAATATTTATTAATAACTTTGAGAGGACAGAAGCAATTTGTCACGTATTGGAACTGGTGTGCAGCCTACCAAAACAACCCCTGTCAGATTCCATGCTATCAGATCACATATTGCATTTTTTCTTTGTTTTCTGTGATTACTTTCTATTATAAATAAACTTCCAAAAACCGTGAGGAAATCTAATTGAGCCTAAAAGATAAAGGAATGGATTATTAAGCCAGAATTGTAAAACGATATATATCTGCACTTTTCTTTTGCTGATATTGTACAGTGGGACATGCGGCAGAATACTACACAATGTTGACCCAACCTGCCATAAACCATTCATGCAAGGGATCTTTGCTGCCTACCGCTTCCCACTGCAGTCCTCTTCACCTCTGGAAAGGTTCCTAGTGGGGGACCCTCTGGAGTGATGTACAATGCCACACGGGGGTTGCGTCAAAAAGGGGAACTCAGAAACTGCTACTCTTGAACAAACTTTTCCGTGAATGGAGCAAGAACTTGCATAAGAAATGGGGTAGACGATATCATATGGGGCGGTATAGTTAGCAGGGAACGCCGATCCTTTTCTGTACTTAAAGCCCTACCCAGGGAGATATTGTCCCTATTTTTGTTTTTCATCTTATAGTTGATAACGCTTTTAGGGTTCCCAGTTTCAGGTTGGGACATTCCTGGAGATTTGGGGGTGGAGCCTGTGGAGGGCAGAGTTTGGGGAGGGGAAGGACCTGAGTGGGATATAATGCCATCAGGT